CTTAAACTACATGCTATTTATAGAAAATTCTTGAGTAAGTTTTAAACTAATTTCATCCACTTAGTTTTATTGTTGGAATGAAATATTATTAGATTTGCATTACTATGCAGAAAGTTAGTAGCTGGTGGTTCATTGGAGTAAAACCACTATGTCATATTTTGAGAAAAATGTTTGAAAATTAGGTGCAAAATTGTCACATTAAAGGCCTTTGTCTAGTTGAAAAAGGTATTCCACATCCTGCAAATTGTGAAACTTACACCCTTGGTATGTTTGTGGGTATTAAAGGGTATAATGCTCCCTTAAGATTTCACTTTTGTTTGTCTTTTTGTAAAATTTTAAACTTGGTACCTTTTTCTAAATTCAGTTTTAAGTCCTTATCTTTTATAATCTCTAAATTACCTTTAACAATATTTTTATGAAAAGAGTCATTCAAATCACTATTGATACATTTGCAAAGCAATTTATCGAATTCATTAGGATTTAATTGTTGAATACATTTTTTTTGTAGTTACAAAGAAGAGATTCTACAGGTTTATTCTACTTAAAACTAACTTGGCTGTAATTATTAAATAGGGAAAATTTCTTCTTGAACACTTTTATCAATTAAATATGGTGAGGATAAATCATAATATACTTTACAATTGATGTCCTTTTGCCCACTCTCTCTTTGTGTAATATACTCCTTTATAATGCTTCAATTTATTCTCAGTAGCTTTTTAAATTTTTTATGGTTGATTATGAAAATTCATCTTTCTTTAGTTTTCATGTATGTCCATTCATTACGTTATTTGTCCTGTAGTAATTACTTTATGATAGCCATCTTTTTTAGTTAAACTATTGGTGCTACTCAATAGTTCTTGCAATTATAAGTATGATGCGTTATCATAGCATCTTGATTTTGCTTCTGCTGCTGAAAAATCTGTTTTTAATTGACTAACACAAAGATGATCTTTTTTTTTAATCTGGACATAAAATTTGGATTATGAACTGTCTTTATTTGAAAACAGAACTAAAATATATATTATGAACTCAAAATATTTTATACACTTCCACCATAAGAGAGACTGATTTGGTATTATCTTTGACCCTTTTTTCACAAAATAAATCAATCAAATGAAGAGGTGTCAGTTTACTTTGTATGGATGGATAGTGAAGTAGAAATTGAGTGAGAATCATGACAAAGTAAAACATTAAACATGGAGTAAAAAAGGCCTATTCCCTTACATCTGAAATGTCCCACTTTGTAATTTGCTGCCAACTAGTAGAACGATATATCTCTCACACTCCTTTTGTGTGATGCCAACATTCTAGAATGCTTAAGGAAGAATATTGCAATTCACAGTAGGTGCAGTGGCCACATGACTTACACATTGATCCACGTGTGAGGTTTTTGTCTTTTAGTTCTCCCTTATTGAAATATATTCTGAAAAAATTGACTTTAGTTCAGACAGATATTGCAGTTAGTTTTTGCAATCATACTTTTTACAATACTTTTGTGACATCGAATAAATTGAAATTAAAGCCCGTTTACATTTTTAAGTTGTGTTTAGGTAACTTGAAAAATATGGTATGCTAAGATTATAAATGAATGTGTTTTTACAACTACAGTCTGATCAAAACATTAGTGTCAGGTTTTTATGTAGGAGTGGGTTGGGTTCTTTATAGTAGGTGTCTGTTACATGTTGGTGATAAATTTCAACAATAGACAATCAGCACACAGATATATACTATATCTCTTACTTGAACTACATTTTAGATGTATATTTTTAACCCTATTGGCTCGGGTACACTTTACTGCACATGACACAAAATTTTAATGTCTTACATTCAAAATTTTATTAAACTACTTTTTGTTTATGTTATACCAATTAGAATAGCATAAAATCTTAGCTAATAATCCATATTTTAATAGTAAGGGTCTGATTTTCTATTCAATAGTTCTGTAACCAAACAAAATTGAAAACTATAAAAATTATGGTCTCTTTGAGCAATAATTATTTTATAGAGTATTTTACTTTCGTACATTTTCAAGGTGTGATGGATAAAATAGGGATGATGACATGCTAAGACAAAATGTGTCACGTGTTGCACTAGTGGAAATTCAGGATTTTTTATATATTTCCTTGTAAAATTAAGAACTTAAAACTTGTATCCTGCCACACCCACTTGTCACATCATCTTTTTCACAATCTATTGATAGTTCTCTCTTACGTTTCATTATATATTACCTATAACCAATAGAAAGTCATGGTTTTCATCTATCAAATGGCGTATTGTATAATGTTGTGTTCTTAACAGATAACCATCAATTTCATTCGGAGTAGCAACATCGTTCCCGTGGGAAAGTTAACAACTAGCTTGGATGAATTTGTAATGGCTTTTGTTGCATAATTAGAAAGCCAAGAAAATTTTTAGAAGTGAATTTGTCTACTTTTTGTATGTTATTAGTCTATATTCTTTGGTTTATTATTTAATTGAATAAATATTGTTAAGTGCTTTACTATAATCACTAAAAAAATCAGGCTTAACTCTCTTTGACAATCAAGGGCAAGAAAAAGAAAATTGTGTAAGTACTTTATTTCTTGTTTTTCATATTTATTCTTTATTTATTA